TTCTTTCTTTCTTTCTTTCTTTCTTTCTTTCTTTCTTTCTTTCTTTCTTTCTTTCTTTTTAAATAAACCCAAATTTGAGAATTGGGAAGTTTTATACATTACTGCTTAGCAATGTAATTTCTAGTCCACTACATAGACCCAAGAGGAATGGATACCGAACTGTAGAGTTGAAGAAATAATCACCATGCAATTAATTATATTTCTAAAACTCTGACACAGCAAATATTATGTAGACCAACAAGTTTTACAACATTGCTAAGCAGACTTATTCTCATTTTTTCAGATATGGGTTCAGAGATGCGAGGGGACTTGTTGAAGTTTACTAGGACCAGAGTGACAGATCTGTGCTTTGAAATCCACACTCAGGAAGCAGGTGATAAAAAAGAAAAGGGAAAAGGAACAAGGTGTTTAGATCAGTGGAGAAGAAAGTAGAATTTCCTTAGATACATAGGACACGTTGAAACTGGCAAGCCAATGGTGGATTGGGCTGAGAGATGTTCCCGTTTTTATAGTTGTTTTTTAAAAAATATTTATTTTTTAGCTTTAGGTGGACACAATATCTTTATTTTATTTTCATGTGGTGCTAAGGATTGAACTCAGTGCCTCACGCATGCCAGGCAAGCGCGCTACTACTTGAGCCATATCCCCAGCCCCTAATAGTTGTTTTTTTAAATAGTTGGACAGAATGCTTTTATTTTATTTATCTTATTAATGTGATGTTGAGGATTGAACCCAGTGCCTCACACATGCTAGGCAAGTGCTCTGCCATTGAGCCACAACCCCAGCCCCAGGATGTTCCAGTTTTAAAAGCCATATACATAGTGGCCCCAGGATGGCCATTGGCTCTTTGTGCCTTCATTTTACAGAATACTTAACTTTTTATAATTTAGTGTGAAAAATTTTGTCCATAAAAGTAGAGAGAAGAGTACAATAAATCCTTACATATGCATCAACAAGCTTTGACAATGACAAACTCATATCTTATTTCACTTTGCAAATTCCAGATCTTACTTATCCTTAAATCTTTCGGTAGGTATCACAAAAATATAAGGATTCTTTCTTTGTTAAACCCACTTTCAGCAGCATTTCTATGATGGGTCTTCCCAGAGACCAGACCTGCACCGGCAGAAGCTTCATGAGGGTGAAGAAGGGTCTCCAAACTCATGCATCTTCCCCTGCACACACCACCCTTGGCTGGCTGGTTGCCATGGATACTGGGAGAGCACAGGTAGGGAGCTCAGAATACTGTGTTAAAAAATCAATTCAGCTTATTGAGTGGCAAAGAGTCAGGGGTGAAGACGAGGAAGACAGGTTTGAAACTTTTTTTTTTTTTTAATTAAAACAGTTAAAAATAATGCCCCCATTATTTCGCTGAAAAAATTCAAATGAATGTCACCAAGGCCACCATGCTGCTAAACCCAATGGTTCTTTTTGGGGTCTCATCTTCCTAGATGAAGGAGCGGCCTCGAGCTCTGCTTCATTCTACTGCAACACTCTCCCGTTGGATTCTGGGACCCTGCACTCAGCTTGCTTTCCTCTTGCTCTGAGCCTGTCCTGCTTTCTGTTTCATTGTTCTCTATGTAGCCACTAAGTATTAGAGTTCCTTAGGATTAAGAGTAGACCTGTCATGGGCACTGAATTCCTTTTCTGAGCAATTTCATTTATGCCAAGGCTTTAATTAGTATATGCCAGAGACTTCCAAATTTAGTTGCCAGACTTTGCCTCTGGCCCCAGACTTTTACATCTAATTGCCTTCTTGACAGCTTCATTTGGGTATCTTAAGGCTGAACTCATGCTGGATCTTTCAGTTCCTGATCCCAGGAAATGTATCATCATCCATCTAACCATAAACTCAGGAAACATCATAGGCCCAGTCTCTCTTTTTAACCTCTTGTATCTAATCCATCTTAAAGATTTTATTTAATCTCCTGCCTATTGCTTGAACCATCTACTTCTCTTCATGTCCACTTCCATAATTCAGGGCCAAAATACTATTACATCCTATTCAGACTCATTCAAGAGCCTTCTAATTGTTCTTCCTATTTTCTTCTTCTCAGCCAGACAAGATTTCTTTATTCTTTTCAGGATTCAKATTGGATTACCAACTATGGCTTAAGCTCCTTGAATGACTTTCATTAAATCTCAGGGGTAAAAATAAAGCAAGCCCAGTTATTTTATATACCCAACTGATGTAGTCCCAGGCTCTCCTGTCTCTCTGTGCTCTGTTCTACTGTATCAGCTCATCAAAGACATCATGTTTTCTCCACAATGTTGCCTCTTTTTTTTCTGAAAATTCTGCACCAACTCCAAATCCTGTTCATTCCTTAGATATTGGCTGTCCTGGGGCCTTAGATATTGGCTGTCCTGGGGAGTTTTTTTTCCCCATCCTGTCCAGCCTGCATCTTCCCTGGTATGCTCTATGAGATGCAGGAGGCTTCCTTCAAGGCCTTTAACTCAGTTTGCATATAAATCTATCCACATAACTATTTGATTAATGTTTATTTCCCAGGACATTGTAAGATCCCAAAGGGCAGAGACTGTGGTGTTTATTCATTGTTACAGTTCTAAGGCTCAGCACAGTGTTCACATAGTAGGAACGTAATATATATTTGCCAAAAAAAGTAGAATGCCCAAATGATAGACAGGCCAAGAAAGATAAGTAGGCAATTCACAGAAAACCAGGTACAAGTATACTATAAGCAAACAAAAAATCGTTTTGCCTTACATATAATTTAAGAAATGCAAATCAAAATCTTGCTTATAGCCAAAGCAATCCTTAGCAAAAAGAGTGAAGATATTTTTGACCCACCAGATTGGCAAATATTAAAAAAAATTACTATYGCCAGTGCTGAACCTATTTAGCCACGCTGGAGATCAATTTGGTTACACTAGTAAAACTTTAAATGTCCACACACTTCGATGCAAGAATTCTACTTCCTCAAGTGATAGCCTTTTGTAAGTATACAAAAATATTTTATTTCTTTTTAAAATGTAATTAATTAATTCTAATTATGTATATATGGCAGCAGAATGAATTTTGATTGATTGTACACAATTGTAGCACAACTTTTCCATTTTTCTGGTTGTACATGATGTAGCTTCACACCATATGTGCAGTCATACATGTACCTAGGGTAATGATGTCCATCTCATTCAACCATCTTTCCTGCCCCCATACTTCCTCTCCACCCTCCCTCCCTTTGCCCAAAGTTCCTTCATTGTTCCCCATTCCCCCACCCCTCCATTATGGATCAGCATCCACTTATCAGAACATTTGGCCTTGGTTTTTTGGGACTGGCTTACTTCACTTAGCATGATATTCTCCAACTCCATCCATTTAATTTACCTGAAAATATCATAATTTTATTCTCTTTTAATGCTGAGTAATACTCCTTGGGTATATATACCACCATCTGTTGTAGGGCATCTAAGTTGGTTCCATAGTTTAGCTATTGTGAATTGAGCTGCTATAAACATTGATCTGGTTGTGTTACTATAATATGTTGACTTTAAGTCCTTTGGATATAGACTGAGGAGTGGGATACCTGGGTCAAATGGTGGTTTTTCCAAGTTTTCAAAGGAATCTCCATACATGCTTTCCAGATTGGTTGCACCAATTTGCAGTCCCACCAGCAATGTGTGAGTGTGCCCTTTTCCCCCACATCCTCACCAAAACTGCAGTTCTGACTGGTGTGAGATGAAATCTTATAGTGTTTTTGATTTGCATTTCTCTAATTACTAGAGATGTTGAACATTTTTTCGTATATTTGTTGATCGACTATATATCTTCTTCTGAGAAGTGTCTGTTCAGCTCCTTAGTCCATTTATTGATTGGGTTGTTTGTTTTTTTGGTGTTAAGTTTTTTTTAATTCTTTATATATCCTGAAGATTAGTGTTATATCTGACTTGTGTGTGGCAAAAATTTGCTCCCAAAATGTAGGCTCTGTCTTCACTCACTGATTGTTTCTTTTGCTGAGAAGAAGTTTTTTAGTTTGAATCCATTCCACTTATTGATTCTTGATTTTATTTCTTGTACTTTAGGAGTCCTGTTAAGGAAGTTRGGGCCTAATCCTACATGATGAAGATTTGGACCTACTTTTTCCTCTATTGGGCGTAGGGTCTCTTGCCTAATTACTAGGTCCTTGATCTACTTTGAATTGAGTTTTGTGCATGGTGAGAGATAAGGGTTTATTTTCATTTTGCTGCATATGAATTTCCAGTTTCCCCAGCACCATTTGTTGAAGAGGTTATATTTTCTCCAATGTATGTTTTTGGCACCTTTGTCTAGTATGAGATAACTTTATTTATCTGGGTTTGTCTATGTGTCTTCTATTCTGTACCATTGGTCTACATGTCTATTCTGGTGCCAATACCATGCCATTTTTGCTACTATAGTTTGTAGTATAGTTTAAGGTCTGGTA